GCAGTGTTTCATGCACTGTTCCCGGGCGTATGGCGTTAAACGTACAAGTAGGCCCGTGAGCCGGCATACGTTCACCGGAGGAAAATACGGGCTCGACTGGCATCTGGATAAATTGGTCCGCTTCTCTTCCATAACTCGATGCAGACGATCCACAACCACGGTGAACAATAGAAGTACGGAGGACCTTTCACTAATTTGCTGCTTCAGCTGCTGGTTTTCGTTCTCTACCCTGTTTGTTGTGAAGCAAGCAACTGTACACACCGTTCGCAATCGATGCGTCGCCCATGAGAACGAAAAGAGTAACCAAGTGCGCAGCAAGTAATCATAGCATTCCGCTTTTCGCACCTCTATAGCATGCAGTAGTTTACCGAAATATTCCTCATGTCTGATATATACCATTTTATGCAACCATTGCGGTAGACGTGTGCTATCCTCCGGTGACGCATGGTGCAGGTGTCGTCATCATCATCATTGTAACAAAACACCTCAGACCAGAAACACTACTTACCACACCAGTAAGACTGAAACCAGAAGGAATTATCTTCTGGACAAACCCACGCACCGCTATCCAGCATTTGTCAATAATACTCGAAACATTAATGACATTAGGAAAAACTGGACAATGCAGCCCAGTGCCTCACGTGAGACCTACGCTGGAACCCATACTCCACCAGTTTCCTTCGATCATTTTTTAGGAGATGTGGGGATGGCTTCGCAGCCATTCCCAACAATAGCACATCCGGCCGATACCAACTTCATGGCCCAACTCTTCCTACAATTTATTCAGATGACACGGCTAGCTCAGTATCATTCCAACCAGAGCTTTCACCCAGCGCCTCATCATCTTCCTTACTCCAACTTCCGACAGAACTCACAAGGGATGCATTGTCCTTATCTCAGAACGTCATAGCAGTAGGCACGACTGCTTCATCCCTACACTCTCTTCCTCTGTCCACAGATCTCCATCCCAGCACTCTTGATACTTCCGAACCAAGCAGTGAACTCCTGTCCACTGACCCCGATAATACATCTATAACATTATTTAAGCAAGCACTAGAACTCGCTGATAAAACATATGCCATGCATGTCCTACTTATATATGCACGTTCCCTCAGAAACAAAATAATTAGCTTAAGAACACTTGTCTCCCTCGTGAACCCACTAGCTATATTGGTCACTGAAACATGGCTAAAGGAGGATACCCCTGAGTTGGTTTACCATATCTCGGGTTACAAAGCTTTTATCGGTTGTCGTAAGTCTGGTCTAGGTAGTGGCTGCGCCATCTATGTTCGAAATGCTATTCACGCTTCGGTATCGCCTATCCAAACACAGGGACGATTCGAAGACTCCGTTTTTATAGACATTATAGTTGATAATCTTCTCATCATTATCGGATGCATCTACCTACCGCCCAATCCTAACCTCGTTGAGATAAGCGCATTACAGAGCGTTTTATGCCATCTCGCGTGCCAGTCCGCGAATCGCAAGATAGTAGGCGGGGACTTCAACATGCCTGATCTGTCGTGGTCCTCTAACGACGTCCCCAATAAGTTTAAAAGCTTCATCGCCACTGTGCATGTATGCGGATGGACTCAGCATGTCTCATCTCCCACTAGAAAGAATAACATATTAGATTTGTTTTTTACTATCGGCTTCACTGCAGCTTCCACCGAGATACTGGGACATCTTCCCGGTAGTGATCACAAAGTGATCTCTTTCTCATTCAGTGTCAATGCTCAGTTGTCAAAAACACCCTCATCAAAAACACATATGACTATCAGCTCCTACAAAACCGCTGACTGGGGCCTTTTTGCAAGCTTGATAAGATCGGCGCAGTGGGACACATTCTTCCTCGCTAGCGACCCTCAGACTGCAGCAGATGAGTTATATAACATCATCCATCGGTCAGTAGATGTGTCGATTCCGCGAAAGCAAATAAAACTACCTACCTCTGGAGAAAGGCCTACACAACACAAATTAGCTATAAAGCTCAAAAAGTTGCTCAAGGCGTATCGTAAATCCAATGACTTCTGTTTCTTAATAAAGCACCAGCAATTGGTTACTATTAAGGAGAATGCCAATCAGGCCATGCTGATTGATAAAGAAAAACAAGCACTCGGTAGCCAAAATAGAAAACAGGAACTATTCAGATTGCTTAAGCGCAAGACCGCTAAACAGAACCTAGATGTTATCTCGCTTATGTCTGCAGATAAATGCTTAGTGAGTGACCCGACTTATACCAGTGAAATGTTCAACAACTACTTTGCTGCCTCGTTTAATGAATGTAGTGATCCTGCGACCCTGGATCTGCAACATCACACGAATGATCAACTCAGCAACATCACATTCAATTTGTGCGATATCCAAAAGCTCATAAAGTCCACTAAAACCTCCTATTTCTCTGGTCCGGACAATCTCCCATCTGCTGTCATAAAATTCGGGGGAGATGACATCCCCTTGCTGCTACTGAATATGTTCACCTTATCTATGAATTCTGGTATCATACCGGCTCAGTGGAAGGAGGCCATAGTGATGCCCCGTCATAAATCAAGTTCACTGTACGAGGTAAAAAACTACCGACCGATTAGTCACACATCAGTATTGTCTAAAATGATGGAGCGACATGTAAAGTCGAAAACGCTTGAATTCCTACTAACTCGAAACTTAGTAAACAATTCACAGCATGGATTCCTGAACTCCAGGTCCTGCATCACTTGTCACTTAGAATTTTTAAATCACCTTGTCAGTTCACACGATCGTGGCTTATCGGCAATCGTCATCTATCTCGACATGCAAAAAGCTTTCGATCGCGTACCTCATAGTCGCCTACTAGCTAAGCTCCAAACCTACGGTATAAAGGACCCCTTACTGGCTTGGTTTAGCTCATATCTCTCAGATCGCTCCCAGATAGTACAAATCCAACAACATAAATCTCAACCCAAGGCTGTTACCAGTGGGGTGGTACAAGGCAGTGTTCTTGGTCCATTGCTATTTCTACTTTACGTTAACGACGTCTTCAGCGTAGTTAAATGCGGCACACCTTATCTTTTCGCCGATGACATCAAAATAGTGTACTCCTTCCATCCTACCAACCTCAGAAATACTCTAATGGAAATCCAACTGGACCTCCATGCGCTTGAGGCTTGGTGCAACACATGGAAAATGTCTTTCAGCACTGACAAATGTAGCGCGATGTTATACAGGTGCAATGTTAAGCACAATGCTCTGACCCTAGATAGCAAACCACTTACTATCTGTCAGACCATCTGTGACCTAGGGCTTCGCTACTCATATTCCCTTAACTTCTCAGAACAAGCATTTTATGCAACAGCCAGAGCTAAACAACGCATTGCATTACTATTCAAAAATCTTACTCTACGAGAATCAATTTGTTCAATGTATGAATCATTCGCTCGCCCTTTACTTGAATATTGCTCAATGGTGTATAGCAATTCCAGGAAGCATGATCGTATCGCTATAGAAAAGATACAAAGAGCGTTTACAAAGCGCCTTATTGGTACGAACTTAGTGTTACCCTATTCTGAGCGATGCGACTTACTTAAACTTGACCCAATATGGCTTCGACGCCTAAAAGTAAATTTAGCACTTTTTTTCAATATCCTGCACAAAAATGTCCACACCCCTAGCATTGATCTATCACTCATGAAACCAAATGGATACAATACACGCAATAGTGAAAATTCTGTGATGGTAAGAAGGTCAAAGACAAACATTTCAGCAAACTTTTTCCTTAATTGGTACTCCCGTATTTGGAACAAATTGCCGACCGATATTCGTACTAGCACATCTGAGTATAACTTTCGTAGAAAGCTTGACGAATATCTTACAGTCAGCAATGTGATTATGCTCCTGCGCTGCCCTACAACTATTCAACAAACGTATGAACAAGGTCCAGACAACATATAACTGAAAGTTGCAATTGACTGTATCAGTCAGATCAACAAACACCCGTTGATTCCCTGCTTACCCTTCTCTTTTATTGCTCACTCCGGATCTGCCTGCCCGAAAGCTCACCGCTGATTAGTGGCTCCACTGATACATCGATGGGTTGGAGGTCCAGGCTTCTGTTATCCTCATCATCCCATCTTGGCTCACTATACTTCCCCTTGATTTTACTTGGCTCCACTGCAACCATGTGTCAGTTGAATCACTGGCAACTTGGTTAGCTGGACTCCCAAGTCCGGTTAACTATCTCTGCAATCATAACTTCACTTCCGTTTCACCCGCTGGCACACCTACCATTCGTTTGTGAAAACACTGACGCTTTGGTAGGTAAAGCACCCGGATCCTTTCTTTACATCTTTAACCCACCTTGCTCCCCAACACTTAGCTTCGGTTTTCACTTGACCATATCTTGCTGGTGAATCAACCGACACATTGTCAACATCAATATGTTTGCCACTCAGGACTACTGTAACCTCGTAAACATATCACTGGCGTTCTGTTGGACCAATTCCCTGCATAATCAAACTCCTAGCGCAGTTAGCCAAACTACTTAAGGTTCGGCATTCTTGTTCACAGCCCACAACCCACACATCTTAAGTAATCCGAAATCCGTATTGCGCCTCCTAATTGTAAACAACATCTGCAATACAATAATAAGGTAGTTGCTTAAATATTTCCCTTTTATACTGTAGAGTAATGTGGACGTATTTTTCCCTGTTAGCCAGACCCATACTGCTGTTCCTTATGCTGTGTCCAGAAATTTGGTTGCGAGACCCTCCCCACACTCTATTATTCTCGATTCCACACATGTACATAATTCCCTAGGAAGTTTTCGGCCTCCATCGCACTAATACTTACTTACTTACTTACCAAGTCGCAATTCATGAGGTTGGGTAAGTGTGATCAGGGCCAAACGTACACAGTGGCTGGACAACCGTTACATCCCGCTCCTTTCGTGCGCGACCTCGGTGTACTCTCACGCTGCGACCTAAAGTCCATTGACAACACGAATAGGCTGTACCAAAACAGCCTTCGTATGCTTTGGGCTCTCAGGCGCAGCTTTAGCACTTGGTCCGAAGAGATTGCCACTCGCCTCTTCGTCTCGATAATACGACCAATGCTAGAGTAAGGCACTCCCGCATACTGTCCCATCACCCGGGGCGAAGTAGAAAAGCTTGAGCGGGTGCAGCATGTAGCCACTAGGCTGATTCCCAACTTACGAGGTATGCCATACGAAGACCGATGTAAGAAACTAGGGTTATACACCCTATCTTATCGTCGGCTGAGGGTTGACCTCATCATGACGCACCGAATATTACATCTGGGTGATTACCCCATGTTGAGACAACTACTTCATCTGCGCACACCAAGCTGCACGCGAGGACACCGGTATAAACTTATCATCCCGGATTTGAAGCGGGTCGCCCATCAACTCTGTTTCGAACGAAGAGTGGTGAATGTCTGGAACGACCTGCCTCAGCATATAGTAGAAGCGAACACAGTGGCTAAATTCAAGATGCTACTAGACAAACAATTTGCAGAGGCAAAGTACAGAGAGCGAAACGATAAATAAAAAGTTCATGTCCGAAAACGACGAATGATGCAGCTACACAGAGCAAACTCTACTCGCTGCTTCGCACCAGTTCTCAGTTCTCAGTTCTAATACTTGCTATTTCCCTTCTATTTACATTGATCCGGACCACAACTCGTTCAACGGTACGATGAGATACTTGCTACCGAAGAAAGTTGGAGCTGCATAATAATAAATTACAACTTGAATCCAATCCCACTCAATACGAATCTCCTCGCATCCGATAAACAATTTCAGTTTCAGAGAAAACTTGTACATACTGATCGGTCCAGGGTCTCTGGAACGTGTCTCACCTTTCTGAGAAATATACCTATTATTATTATCATACACGTTAGTAGAGGTGGGAAACACCTCAGCTACTGTGCCGCAATACACAGAAAAAAGGAGAGAGAAAAAAACAACTGGTGAAAGCTGGCTGAGCTACCGGTAACGGATGGGCATCGTTCCGGTAAGCTACCAGCCGGCTGTTGTGCACCCAAGAAAATTATTATGCAAAATTATATAAGGCTAAGTAATGAGATCATGGTTGGAGGGGGAGGCTAAGAGGGATGGGGTGGGACAAAGAAACTCACAGCACGAACGCCACTGAGGTCGGCTCCTAGCCATATCAGCAAGTGTGTCCAACCAAACGTGTTCATCGTGTTTCGGACCCCAACCAGGGAGCCGAGACGCTCCAACCGAGGCCAGCTCAGAAGTGAGGGTCTTCATTCCTCTGGACCAAGTCATCGCTTGGCCACCCCTCCTCTTCTTCCATCCACACCCCCGGCGCGCAAACAACACACGTCGCGGAAGTCGGTGGGCTGGCATGCGTAACACGTGGCCGAGCCATCGGAGCCTGATGCGTGCAATAACGGTGCTGAGCGGGTCAGTTCCCTTTTCCCGTGCCATAAACAAGGCGTCGAACACGCTCGTTGCTCACGCTGTGTTCCCACCAGATGTGAGCAAATTACGAAGGCACCGCTGGTCGAACGTAACTAGCCTCTTCAGGTCCGCTGCTTTAAGCGGCCAGGTTTCACAACCGTACAGTAGGGTCGAACGTACTGATGCGTTGTACACTCTACACTTCAGGGCAAAAGTGATGTCGTGCTGGCGCCATAAGTGGCGAAGGTTAGCAAAAGCGCCCCGAGCTTTTGCTATACGATTCGTGATTTCATCTTCAATCCCACGGGCGCTGATACAACTTCCCAGGTAGTTGAATTTTTGAACGACTTCTAGCTGATCCCCACCAAGGCTCAGCGTAGGAGGCGGTCCAGACCAATCTTGGAGAAACGCTTTGCACTTCGAGGGTGCGAAGCAAAGCCCGAAGTGACGGACAGCTAGTGCTAATCTGTTCCGTGCCGCTTGGCACGTTTGTGAGCTGTCACGGATTAGGGCAATATCGTCAGCATACTCTAAGTTAAGAAGTCGTTCTCCTGGGAGTAGCTCCACACCTTCCAAGTCATGTCCTGTAAATGCAAACTCCATGACTTCGTCAATAGCGAAGCTGGAGAGGAAAGGTGACAGCGGGCATCTTTGTGTCACACCGCTGGAGATATTGAAGGCCGGCGACAGCTTGCCGTAAGCCCTCACTCTGCCCGAGCTACGCGCATATAATGCTCGGATAATATTTCCATATTTCTCAGGTACACCTTTCCTGGTGAGACAGTCCCACATTGCTCTGTCTATCCCACCGAATCGAATTGCACCTTTTGATATCGAGGAACACAGACAACACGGTGGGCCGCTCCAATATATGTGACCCCCCCCCCCCCCCCGGTGTTGGCATCCAATAACTGACGAGCAAGGCTGAAGATGTGGTTACAATGCAGCCCCCACGACCTCGATGATCATTCCAGGCTTGCTTCATTCCACGAATCTAGGCTTTTACGAGTTGCTAGTCAGTCTGTAAGGATGACTAGAGGCAAGCAATTTGGAGGGCGATGGGATCAGACTCGATTCCTCTAGTTGGCCTGCCGCATTCCGATCGTGAGCCCTCCTTTGAAAATTGGGACTATGATGGAGCGGCTCCAATCGGTTGGGACAGTAGTTTCCTGCTCCCACAGTCTCACTCAGTAACTCGTGTAAATCATCCACAAGAGCAGGTCCCCCGCGAATTTGAAAAGGGCTGGAGGAAGGTCATCAGGTCCCGCGGCTTTATTTAACTTCAACAGTTTGATCTCATGGTGCAGGTGTGAGCAACGTCTAGCCATGTCTCGCACCGCCTGAAAACCGACACAGCACCAGATGCGGCCTGGGGGTACAAAGGTTGAAACGCACCGACTTGAGCAGCAAACTTTATCCATGACTATTGTACGTGCACACGATGTGTCAGGAATCATTGCAAGCATCTGCTGCCACCGTTTCCTTTCTAACTGTCCGCTGTTTATTCGGCAAGAAAAGAGCAGAAAAGGCATCACAACGCCAGCCACGTCAACCAACATGCAGTGCCACAGGATATAACCCTTACAGTTGATTTCGGTGCGTCAATCCCGCCAAAAGCCACCTACCAGTAGTCGCTTGCCAACCACATCCTTTCCCTGCATGACGGCGCAAACTACACCAGGACTTGTTTGACCGTCATTCTTATGCACCCGTGTCAACTGCCATTACTGTTCCACACAACGAACCACCAGAAACACCTACTTCCGTCTGTTTTACGCATGTGTCGCCCGCCTCATGTTGCCCACAAAATCGCGGTTTTTCGGTGTCTTCGTCATCTTCTCCCCCCTTCCTCGGCCATAAGTCCTCCAAACAATGGAAGTCCGTATTTTCACGGCTTCCTTAAATGTGTTCCATCAAGGAACGGACCTCGGACACTTGCTCAGCAGTCAAACGTTAGTTGCTGGGTTACAGCCATTGCTGACAAATATGAAAACTATGCGTTTGTACTTCAAGTTGAATTTGCAGCGCTCATTACAGTTGCCCACTCTTAAACAATGCAATCCAACTTAGGCGACGGCAGCATGACTCGCCAGCACTGGTGTCTACTGCGAGCAATGTCCTGTAAACTCTCGAGCCAAGCACAAGGCGAGTCACGTGGACTCCAGCCCGGAAGGCGAGACGGACCAACGGCACCCAGTTTGGTCGTCAGTGACTTCATTTCCCGCTGCCAAGTCAACTTCTGTCCACCTCGAGCCTTGCGCCACCCTACGCCTGGCAGACTGAACAAGACCCTCCTAGGTAAGCGGTGACAAGCATACGTAGCACGTGCCCGAGCCAACGCAACAGTTTTCAGTGCTATCTGTTGTTCTAGGAAACTAGCATGATTATCACCACCTAGTACTCGCCTACGCACATCATCGTTTCGGACACGCTGGTGCCATCCGACTCCAGCAGTGTTTTACAGACAACGATGATCAAAGACTTGAAGACGCCTCAGATCTTCAGACCGAGGGGGCCAAGTCTCACTACCATATAGCAGAACGGCGCTTACTGTGGCTTTGTATACTCGGCCACTCAGACGGAGGGAAACTCCCTTCTGTTGCCAAAGATGACGCAGGTTCAAGAAGGCAGCTTTGGCCTTTGCAATGCGTGAGCTGACGTCAGTTTCTATGCGCCCATCATTGCTGATGCAGCTGCCAAGATAAGTGAATTGATCAACCACCTCGAGTTCCTCGTTAGCAAGCGTCAAGGGGTCATCAAGTGGCTGGTGGTCCTGTAGCAACACTTTGCACTTTGAAGGTGCGAAGTGCATACCAAATAATGGGACCACTCTGGATAGGCTATTCAGGGTTGATTGCACCGTCGCAACACGGTCGACAAGCAAGACGATATCGTCCGCACAATCTAGATCAACTAACCTTTCACCAGGCAACACTTCAGCGCCTGCATCGTGAGATTCCGCAATGGAACACTCCATGGTGAAATCCACGACGAAATTGAACAAAAACGGGGAAATCGGACAACCCTGACCAACGCCAATTGTGGTCGGAAAACTGTCCGATAGGACACCATAGACCCTGACGCGATCTGTAGTGTTCGAGTATAGAGCACGAAGGATGTTCACACATTCCGTGGGAACACGTTTCTGCGCAAGTATTTCGAACAGAATCGATTGATCGACTGAATCGAACGCACTCTTGAAGTCGAGGAACACAGCTATTGTCGGTCTGCGGTATGCGTAGCGCTGCTGTAGCACCTGCCGCAAAGTGAATATATGGTCTATACAGCCACATCCTAGGCGGAAACCGGCCTGCTCTTCCCTAATCCGAGATTCCCGTTCCTCAATGAGGCGACGAACGATAATCGAAGTCAATAATTTTGTCACAACTGGCGTTAGGCTAATACCCCTGTGGGTAAAACAGTCTGTGCGACTGCTCTTATTGTATATTGCCACTATAATCGATTCGCTCCAATTAGCCGGAGAAGTCTCTTCCTTTCAGATACATTTGTATAAGAAGGTCAGTGCTTTGCAGAGGACCTCACCTCCATCGTTAAATAGTGCAGGTGGGAGGGAATCAGGGCCTGTGATCGCGTTTCGGACCTCGGCCTCCGACGGAGGCTCTTAACTAACCGCCCATGGCTCGTCCTGCATCACCTGTGTAGGAAGAGGTCCGGGAGCAGGGGCCAGCTGAACTGATCTTGAAATTATTCCGCCCAACGAGCCATACGGCGCTCCTTATTGTGTATCAGCGCACCCACGCTGTCTCTGATTGTGTCACTGACGCCTGGTTTTCTGGGCCCAGTGGTGCGGATTGGCTGGAAGAGCTTGTCATAATTTCCTACTGCTCCTACCTCCTCCTTTCCTTGAGCCCTACTGGTCCACCAGGCTTCCTTGTCAACTCGTAAGCTCTGTTTTAGTTCACGCTTAATTGCCAGTCTGGTCACATTGTGTTCAGAGCCAGTCGGGAGATGTCTTCTAGATTCCAACAGGTTCACCGACCTCGGATATCCAGTGACTGGTGCGGTGACGATGGATAGTGCCACAAGCAGATGCTCCTGCGTCTTGCATGGCGGCTGAGATCTTATTCCACTGACGCTGTGTCATTAGGACAAGGCAGCGGA